TCAGATGCTAGTGTGAAAATTGAAAGAAAATATAGGTGTTTGGGTGTTATTATCATCATCTTTTCTAAGTATATTTCCATATTTTTCTGATTACTCAGAATTCTAATATAGACGATGAAAAGGTTTAAGAACACGTTTGGAACGTGTCAGAACAATAAGTTAAGAACATACAGGTATTTGCACACCAACACTAAGGAAAAGGAAGGTATGAGTGTCTATCGGAAAAGAAAAAATTAGAAAAATGATGACATACAAAGATGAACACAGTACTGACATGTTGCATGGAGATAATTATAGAGTAGTAAGACCCAATGGAAACAGAACATTCAAAAGATGATGATGTTATTTTTTCTCTTTAAATTTTACGAGTTACTACTACTCAATGCAGTTTTTTCCTCATGGCAAACATCAAAAATCTTTTCAACTTTTACTGCTTAAATGCAATGCAAAGACCACATGCAAGAGTAAAAAGAAAAAATCCAGGTCATTTCCAAATCAACTTGAAGTAATTTATTTAGAAGACTGAACTTTAAAAATCATTTAAAGTTTGGAATTTTACAGCTGAAATAGTTGATAACAGAACTGATTTTTCCTAGGATGTTTACCAAATTTTAATCATTATATTTTAGGGGAAAACCCAACAAAATAGCTTGAAGATGCCTGGGGTGGGAGAGATGAACTCATTAACATGGAATTTATTATATATACTCTTGTATCAAAATTAGTTTTAATAGCAATTGTTAATAAAGAACATTTCCATAATATGCAATCAGTTTTAAAAGTAGTAATTCATTTCAAAGTTATTAAACCAGAAATACTTTTTTCAAAATGATAGAGAATTACATCAACCAAAACTACACTTTTTTTGAAAACTATACTTTTATATGAACCTTCAAGTAAAACAATTTTAGTGTTATAACGAACTTAATTTCAGAGTTTCTGAAAAAAAGCATTTTATAAATTTGAATAGCCAATATAAATCAGAGATGATTTAGAATTAGATGAACATTATTAAAGTACTATTTTAAATAAATTACTCATTTGTTTAACAAAGATTAAAATTATAGACCAGGACTCTAAATTTAATTTTATTTAAGGAAAAACAAAAACTTACACATATTTTATATAAATATACCCATATGTGAAATACATTCCTTATGTGACACTAAGGAAACTTTTAGTGTAAGTAAGTAAGCTACAACACCATATTTAAGATCTATCCCTAAATTCTAATTATTAAAAACCTGTAAGATGATTTCGATTTACTTGTACAGTATCTGGTAGATGGTATGAAAATACTGAATTCAGTCATTATTGTTGAATGCAGTATTTTCATTTATAAACAAAGGAGTTGAAATTTGGTTCATAGTTTATAATAAACTTTGCACAAATTTATGATAACTTGTAACATAGACAGTTATCCAAAAACAAAAACAATTTTAAATTTACTAATTTTATACACTTCACTGTAAAATTTCCTTGATCTGAGTTTTTAACCAACTGGAATTTAACATGCACCATAACTAGGGGGAGTGAACAATGACAAACTAACATGAAACATAAGCAATATCAGAAGAACAGAACAGAGAGGTGGCACTTGGTATTAACATATATCATTAAAGTCTCATTTTCTTTTACATTGCCAAAATCATCTAGTAACCTAAATCCTGGAATTTCTAATCTTGAGTGGTTGTTGTCAAACTCAGTAATTAATAATACTACCAGTATTTTTGTAACTTTAAAAATATTTACAGTTTACAATTTTTTAAACAAAATATTTCCTCAAATGCTTGTCATGATGTGATGGTTCTTACAGCCATCACATTTACTGGCCATTATTTGTAGATTATATAAGCATGTTAATTACTAGCTAGGGAATCTTTTTTAAAAAATCATTGATAATGTGAACAAATATCAAAATGGAGAATTTCCATTCGTGTCTCCAACTTAGTCCAATTAGTACTTTAGTGACAATATTTTATATAAATATAAAAATATATCATCTATAAAATCTAGCAATTTGTTTTTCAAGTGCATAATTGTATGAAATTATAAATACAAATTCAAATTTTGTTCAAAAACTGGATTTTACTTGAGAAAATACATCCTAAAACACAAAATCCATTTAGTAATTATTTTAAACTTAAAGGCACATAATTATTCACTTCTATTTTTTCAGAAAAAATTATTACAATTACAATGCACTGCAAAATGCTTGCCCGTGGAAATGCATCAATTTATATTTCCCTGACCTTACCCCACACTGTAATACAGAATTAATTTTATGAAGGTAAAAATTTGATTTACTATGAAATTAGTAACATGGTTTAATTCAAAAGAAGCAAAAGATTTACAGAGGTAGTATTTTCAGTTCAAACAGAATTTTCTGGGTTTTAAATTCCCTATAAAGTAATGAATCTTTTTTTTCTCTTCTTGGTTTTGCTTTAAGATACTTAAAAGGGTTTCAAGTATTCTACAGATACAGATTTTGGAGAACACTGAATTCTTTCCAAAAATCTATTTTAAGTTTTCTTTCACTGCACCGTAGAACGTCTTAAAGACTTTTTTATCCCTCCAAAATGTCATTTTCACCTAAAATAATTGTGTGCAGTTCTTCTCAGCAGGTAAAGTACACACATAAGGTTTCAAATTTCAAAATTTCTGTAATGCATTTAAACTAAGCACACCTCTGTGTGTGTGTGCGAGCGCGAGTCTATTATCTTGGAATTATTATTTACACTAAATTTTAGTCTTTTTACCCTCAAAAATACCTTGATGAACCCTCAGCAGTTGCTAACCACTTAATAATTGTGACCCCATCAGCCCCTTCAAGTAGATCGTTAATCACAAGAGTGCCTGACAATTTCCAAACTGTATCTTCTGTCCAAAAGGAAAAGATAGGGCTTTCTGAGGCCGAAAGGAAGCGAAGGAAAACAAAACAAATGCAGCTTATGCGGAAAGTGAAAAGTGCTTGGACAGAATAGTATTTTCTTTTCTGCAAGGCATCCTGCCAAACCCCACCTCCCTCTTGATAGACCAGAGTTTTGTTTTGTTTTTTGCCTGATTTTTCAGTTTCTTGAAAAGTGTTGGTGTGCACACCCCCACGGGCCCCTCATCATTAGCGTTTGTTTTGCGTTCTTCCCGTCGGTGCACATCACAGACGGCTGATATCCCCGCCTCACCCTGTCAAAACCCCAACTCGGGGCGACTCCGGGTGTGGAAACTCCGTGGACGCCCGACACATCCCACTCCCTCCCTCTCACGCAACTCGTTTGACTCGCGGGATCCTCCACTCTAGTACCAGCGAAAACCGGAAATTTTCATTTAGCACCCCCCACACCCCGTGCCCTGGCCACCCCCCATTCAAGAGGACTGCTGGGGAGCTGGGAGGCTCGCAGCACAGCCGGGGCTCGGCCGCCTCCCCTCTCCCCGGAAGGCTTTAATTTGCACACTTGCCGGCCACCGCGCCGAGCGACCCCAGCCCGGCCGCCGGGTGGGTGCCCGCCCCGCCCC